CTCCCAATACTTCTGTTAGTCTTAAAGGTGCCACAGGACCCTCTGTTGCTTTTTACAGATTCAGACTAACACGGCTACCCCTCTGATACTTGTCAACATTAGGAAACATTCTTGTATAGAAACACAAATGTTAAGGATCTAGTTAGCTGAGGCAATGCTGATCCCAACTTTGTAGTCAATGTAGACAAGGACCATAGTGTCAGCTAGCCATGGTTAACCCCACCTAGTACCAGGATCTGGCCTGGGAGGGCATGCAATTTTTGCTACGAGTCCCCCACTTCCTCATTAGGTTGCAGTTGTGAAGGTGCTTGTTTTTGTAGGATGAAGGGCTTCTGCAACAGGCTGACCTTTTTGAGGAATAGGCTAAGCCTGTTGGAGAGCCAGAATTTGGGACCTTTCCAAAATCATGCAGTCTGGAAAGCTACACGTATTTTCCTTTGAGTAGAGGTATGCCATGCTATTGCTGTAAGTCTGTGGAAATTAATTTAGTTAAGGTGAAATTGCAAGTTTGTTTTCATAACCTTTACAGATTTAAAAGAAAATGTTTTTCATATAATGGCTAAGATGTGACAGTATTTGAATCTCAGAATTTTTACTACATATCTGAATTCATCACTTTATTTCAAGGCCCTGGTTAAAAAACGTTGTATACAGATATCTTTATCCAAGATGCTATAACTATATTTTAAAATCCAGTTTATTGGTCAATGTTTACATTCTTGTTTACAATGAAAAAATCAGAAGTCAGTTTCACATTCATCTGCAGTTAGATTTAATGTCTAGGGCCCAATCCTAGTACATGGTTAACTTTGTGCATGGTCTATAGGTCTATTGAGTGCATAGTCTTTGCAAGTTCAGGGCCTTTGTACTGCAATGTTTCGCCCTGCAGTGTTGATTTGTTTTATTGGTTTGATGAAGTTTACATTTTGGGTGATATTTAAGCTATGTCACTTTTAAAAGTTATAACAAGAAGAAATAGTTTCACGCGCATACTAGCTTTGACTTCTTAAAGTTAGCAGTGCATAAGTCATATATCTAAGGCTTACTGAAAGTCATTTGTTTTTAGTGTTGGTTGGCTGGCCAAGTCAGGTCTACACGTAGGCTAAAAGCCACCTTGAAAATGATATGGTTCTTTTAAAAATCTTAATTTTACTAGCATTCTTTCATTCACTCCCAACAGAACTCCTGACAAAAAAAAGCTCAGTTCTACTAGAGTTCAGCCCTGCGATGTGCAGGAGAGGGTATGCTATGTTAAGCATTGGCCTTTTCAGTGCCTAAGATTACAGTCCAGATCTATGTTCCAAAGGTCTGGTCGTCTTCTTGCTCCAGTGGGATACAGACTTTGATGCTTTTCCTCCATTCTTTAAATGTTTGTCCTTGAGCTAATGCATCACAACGCATTTCCTGGCAACCAAGAGAACTACTTCCAATAATTTTGTCTGATATTTGCACAGTCCCACTGCTGCCAGATTGTGAGTTATACAAACTCTTTTAATACAGAGTTTATAATTCTAACATGCCTTATAAGTAAACAATTCTTTCCCAAAATCTTTGCCTCTCCTTCTCCAGTACCCCACTATGTACTAGACCGTTTACTTCAGTTTTATATTTATTGATAGGTAACCTGGTGCAGAGGCTCTCAAACTATGGTCCGTAGACCACTGGTGTACTGCAGAGCACTTGCCAGTGGTCTGCAGAGAGCTGGCTGGTCACTTAGTGTTGACTCTCCTCCTTTTTTCCATCTACTAATTTGTATTAAAAGAGCTAAAATTATATTAAATAGTTTCCCACTGTTAATTTTCGATGTAAACAATTGCTGCAGTTGGTACAGGGATATTACACAATCATGAATGGGTGAGAAAGTGGTCCACACACTCACAAATCAGAGGAATTAGTCCATGAGACTATTCAGGTGTGGTCCATACTGTGAAAAGGTTTAAGGTTCCCTAGCTTGGTGATTAGAGCACAAGGCTGGGAGTTTGGGCTGCTGATGCTGAGCCCAAATTTCACTCTTTACTCCACTGTGAGTCATGAGTAACTGGGTTGGTACTTATGTAACAGGCTTCACCTTTGCAACATGGTTAGAAAGCCAAAAAGTGCTGTTTAAACAGCAACACTGCTGAATTTTCTCTGGTGTTGTGTGTGACAAATCCTTCAACGTGTACGTCTTTCTGCCTGATGTATGGCTGTATTCACATGGCTGAACTGGCCTGGTAGGAATGCTCTCTCCTCCCCACACTTGATCTTGCTTTGGGCTTATCTAGAAGAAGTTGATTAAAGATAAATATATTTTCCTTGGAGTTGAAGAAAGTAGTAATCTCTGCCCTGGATAAAGTCTCAGGAGGGTTATTCAGCCCCTGCCAGATTGGGCCTCAGTTGTGAAAGCCTGAGAGAGTGCCTATTGTAAATGTCATACTGTTGTGTGTTTCCATTAGAGGTCATACATCTACACTGCATTGTAGCCCAGGATTTGAACTCAGACTCAAGCCTTTCCCCCACTCCCCTTCCATCTATGCGCAAATAGCACTAACCCATGGGGTGGAGGGTCCAAGCCTGAGTCAAGCTGCCACCCAGGGTTCAAGCCCTATTGCTTTGCAATGTAGATGCATCCCCACTGGAGTTGTTCTCTGGGAGGCTGCCAAAAATATCCCACAATCCCATGGGTCAACTTTGTCCTCTAGACCAGTGCTTCTCAAGCTATCTGATATGGAGGACCGGCAATTTCCCCCCCCCCCCAGTGTGCCAGGGACTGGTGTCATATTATTATCCTATTAGACACTCTTATGAGGAAACTCGCCACGGACCGGCAGCCGATGGCTCACGGACCGGCACCAGTCCGCGGACCACCACTTTGAGAAGCACTGCTCTAGACAGTCAAGTTTTCCCACACTGCACCACAAACATAGGACTAAGGCAGCCACATTTTGGGATGGTGCTAGGAAGTGTGGGATAAGCATAGTTGGGCTCGGGCAATGTAGATGCTGGAGCCCAGGTTCGGGCCCAGGGTTCAGAAATTCCTAACCTGGGGTTACAAATGAGTATAGATGCTCAAGCACAAGGTTAACAACCCCAGGGTCTGCTCACTCAAGTACTACTAATCTTGGGCTTACATTACAGAGTTGATATACCCTAGGTGTCCATCCCTCCCCCTTCAGCTCTTTGGTTATCTCAGCTTCCTCCCTCTCGGTTTTATTTGTTAACAACCCTTTAATGGATATAGAAATATAGTGACATTTACAGGAGAAAAATTACTCTGTACTGCAGACTGGGAGCAAGTCTGTGTTATTAACACTTAGCATATTGGATGGTCTTTAAAAATCACAGTTGAGATTTTCAGAAGTGACTAATGATTTTTTGGGGGGAGGGGGCTCTCCATTTTTGGGAACCTCACTTGAGGCTCCCCTAAAGGGTCCTGATTTTTAGGGAGTGTTGAGCACCTGCCATCTGTGGGGGGAAAAAAATCTAGATCCTTTAAGGGGTCTCAAGCTGGACTCCCAAAAAAAATCACAAGTTGCTGTTGAAAATCTTAGCTCATATTTTTTTAACAAGCTACAAGTTACAAACAATACCCAAGATGATTAAAACGGAAAGAATGTTTAAAGTCTCACTTAGCCTTCACCATTTCTGCTACTTATTTGTATTTTGCAATCCTCTCCATTTAGGACAATGAAAACACAGCATTGGAGATCACCAAGACTGCCTTCAATTGCTTTACACTGCAAACAACCCCTAACTCCAACCTAAATGCACATGCACAAACAGAGCATTGCAAAGCAGGGATGGGAAGATTCTTACTAGTGACCAGTTGAGACTCCAAACTTGTTGAAGTGCTTGGAAACAGCTGAAATACAGAATTTTTTATCTTAAAAGTGTATTTGCACATACAGTAACACTGCACTGTTCAGACTACGAATGTGAATTAGTCTGCCAATGACTATCTACTTAAAGATGTAAGACCAAATGTCAGTTAGAACCCCTGGCTCATGTAGCATTTATACCTGTGGCAGCAGGGCTCCATTTGCATTACTTCCTTCTATTCCAGCTGCCAAGCTGTCCCAAATCAAGTGACTGATACTGGTTTGCAACTTGTCACAGAAGGATTAAAGTTACAGGTTTATCTTTCACCAAGATACTACTTTCAGTTTCTAATTTCAGATTAGAACACCAGTGTGCAATCTCCCCAGCATCTCTCCCAGACAGCCAGTTTTACATGTTGTTAATGCTACAGTATGCTGTCTGCAAGATCAGATAAACTAGCAGCTGTGCGGGCTCTGAGGAGCAGAGCCAATAGCTTTCTGTTTATGCATTTTTTCCCTACAGCTCCGTTAGCAGTTGGACGAGATGATCTGTAGGCATTTTCCTGTTTTAATTTCTATGGACTTCAAGACCCTTTGCCAAAATCATTGGGCTGATACATTAAATACTATCCTGCCGCCTTCACGATACCCCCACTGAATCCATATACACCCACACACACCCCGCCTGGCTCCCCCCCCCACACACACACCTTCTCCCCCAAAGACGGTAAATGTAGACAGCCTTGAGTACATAAGGTGTGTTCTTATCTGACCCAGTAATTGTACCCCAAAACAAT